ATATCTATATCTATAAAATTATTATTATTATTCTTATTATTATTAGAGAGCTACATACAAAAATCTTTTTGGTCCAATGAATGTTACTGTGCAATTCCTCAGTTTCCCAATTAATATGTATCCGTCAACAAGTTCACTTTTTTTGCTAATTCAGAGATGTAGAAAAAAGTCCAGTTATTAGGAGGTAAATATTGAAATTGTTGAAGTATTATTTTATTGCACCTAAGTATATGCTATATTAATAATTTGTTTAATACAAGTTTCTTCCAATGGAAAAAAGTGACTAAATTTATTATATTAAGCACAATCAGTTTTCATTTTGTCTTAAGCCACTGAAAGGACATTAAGAATAAATTTGTGTTGAGGATTTTTCAGATTAAGTCTCACCTATTTGATCATTTTTTGACTGGAAAATATTTTCTTTTAATGAGAAAGCACTTTTATGAAGGAGTACAAAAAGTGACCAAGCCATCCTAAAGAAGAGACAGAGGAAAAGAGTGGTTGCAGTACCATCTTCTCCAGAAGAGGGCCATGTGCCATTGCAAAATAATTAAATTTCTTATACTGAACAGCCAATGTGTTTATATACAGCATTTATATCAGCCCAGACTTACCTTCTGAGAAAAGTCAGGAGGAAGCGTTTTGGCACCAGTAAGTCGTTTCACTAGAAAAGCTTTCCAGTTTGTGTATTTGTGTTGGATGGCTGTTGCAAATGAAGGGGGGGAAAGTCAGCCACGGATTCCTAATTATGTTTGTCTATTAGAGACAGACAATGGTAAAGTCTGCAACATGTAAAAACTGTTAAACAATGTTAAAATACTGGTTAAAAATAATGACAAAAGCCATGTAAAGGCTGAATTGAGGCCCTGTTTCATAACTGCATGTGCATGTGGACCAAGGGACAGAATTTGACCTAAGGCTTTAATTAAGAATACATTAATAAAAATCATTAGAATATGAGAACAATCTTGATTTGATTTCTGAATCCTAATGAATTTACTTCAATAGAGACAACATGAACACTTCCATAATCTCCATGACTGAACAAGCCATGCCAATATTCACTTACTTCGAGGCGGAACTAAAGGCTTCCCACTGGCTGCACACCAACCAACTGGGTGGATATCAGACCCACAAACGTTGCACCAGAAATCAAGGCTTGAATCATTTTCAAACCCTTCATATCTTAGCAAAGCATTGTAACCTGAAAGGGAACGATACTATTCTTAAAAATCAGAGCTATAGGTTATACTTCTCCAATACCAACATATATTGCAGTCTTATCTTTTTTTTTTTTTTTTTTTTTTTAATGACAGACTATCTAGACAAAGGAAACACAGTAAATATAGTCTGGCTGGATTTAAGTTAAATATCTGATTTGGTGCCTCA